CATTTTCAGCGAAATTAACAAGTTTGAATTTTTAATTTGTTGACTTTTTGTGCTTTGAAAACTCAAAACGTAGCAAATACCCAAATCGAGCGACATCGACCGTTTTTTTCGCAAAATTAAAAATCTTTTGGGGCATTCGAAGGTCATCTGGAAGTCGTATTTTGCGGTAAAATCCTTCTGAGTTCCATAATATTTAAAGTTTCTCCACGAGCTCAATTTTATCAAAAAGTSAGTAGTTAGGTTAGTAGGTTACAAGTACTTGAAATTTTGATATCTGAGCGGTTGTTTAAAAAGTTTTTTGTAAATATCTCGCTTGHATTTAACTGCAAGGTGCTTATTTTCACAGAGCATACGACGCTTGATAATTGAGTTGTTGTTATGCCGCTTCACTGCGGTTTTATTGAATTTTATCAGATTAATCGACAAYATTGGAAATGTAGCAAATACCCTTTTTAGGTAGAAAATACCCACTTTTYCARAMTTTTWAAACAAKTTTGCTTGAAAAACGCCAGAAATGCAACATTTATCATTTTAATTTCCATGAATGCTAACCGCACAGTAAGTCAAATGTTGAGAACCACTTATAGCATTTTCGGRCGAAGATTTAATTGATTAAAAACAAAAATAACATGAAATTGAAATCCCTCAATGTCTGTATGAACACAACGTCCTGGASTTGTTSATGAAATGTCTTTTTTCAGATAAAACGTTTAATATCGTTATTTAAAGTATAGAAACATGTCCTCAATGAGGCAAAGACGTATAATATTAAAGTTTTTTATCATCATCATCATCAATGTGAAAGGCATCGCTACCAGTGACATCACTAATGTTATCATGATCCCAACAAGGTACAAATAATATAAATAACGATAATAATGAGGATGATAGCGATGATAACAGTTTGCACATTTATTATAGCGATGATCATACGAGTCTGCGCATTGTCAACAACAATAATTACAAGAATGTGAGTGGTGTTGTCTGCGTATTACCAATAACGATGATTAAATGCATGATAGTGATGATTACAGTCTGCGCATTGATTAGAACGATGATTACATGTATGATAGTGACGATTACAGTCTGCAAATTAATCATAACGATGATTACATGCATGACAATGGTGATTACAGTCTACRCATTGATAATAACGATGATTACACGTATGATAAAGATGATTACAGTCCGCGCATTGATAATAACGATGATTACATGT